AATAGAAATAGAAATAGAAATAGAAATAGAATAGAATTCTTTATTGGCCAAGTGTGATTGGACTCACAAGGAATTTGTCTTGGTGCAAATGCTCTCAGGGTACATAAAAGAAAAGATATATTTGTCAAGAGTCAAGAATCATCAGGTACAACACTTAATGATAGTCATAGGGTATAATAGAATAGAATCGAAGGATATAGAAATAGAATGTAAATAGAATGGGATGGATGGCATGGGATAGAAAATAGAATAGAATATAGAATAGAATAAGAATAGAATAGAATAGAAATTAGAATAGAAATAGAATAGAATTCTTTTATTGGCCAAGTGTGATTGGACACACAAGGAATTTGTCTTGGTGCAAATGCTCTCAGGGTACATAAAAAGGAAAGATACATTCTCCAAGAGTCAAGAGTCATCAGGTTCAACACTTAATGATAGTCACAGGGTACAATAAGCCATCAAATCATACTAGTCCCCAAGGTGCTTTTCACAAAAGGCAACTGGACTTTCCCCAAAAGGCAACTGGACTTTCTTGGCGTTTCCCTTGAAAACCTTTCGCTTCTCATCCAAGAAGCTTCTTCAGAACTGATTTCAACAGCAATAAAACTGAAGAAGCTTCTTGGATGAGAAGCGAAAGGTTTTCAAGGGAAAAAACCAAGAAGCTCTACTTGCCTTTGGGAAAAGCACCCGGATGACCAAAGAGGTCCAGAGAGGTCCTCCTGAGCGGTGGGATTCAGCCGGTTTGCACCAGTCCGGGAGAAGCGGTTGTTAACTTTCTGAGCAATTTGGTGACCTTCCCACCCCTGGTCCTCCTAGCAGGCTTGTCCCACCAGACCAAGGCTCCTTCTTGCCAAGCCCCAGACCCTCCCATCTCCAGGTCCCCCACCTACCACACTAGGAAGGCAAAGAGGAGCAGGGCCACCAGGGCAAAGAAGGCGAAGACCCCAAGCGACACCAGCGTTGCCACCTTCTCCACGGAGTCCCCCTGCCCTGCTGGAGAAAGCAAGAGGTCCATCACCCTTACAAGTTGAGGGCAGAGGTGGTGGTGGGGGCCCAATCCAGACCAGGCCAGCAAGAGGGGGCTGCAGCCCCCCCCACCCCACAAGATCTTAATCCTTCAAAGAAAATATCCTGGGTGTCAACTCGTAAATCATTCCTAGGCCTGTTTCTGAGTTGCCGTAAGAAGGAGTGGGGAGGCCAGAGGGAGCAGTGAGGCAGATGAAGACCAGAAGAACATTCCACACTTATCTTGTGGAGATTGTAGCCTAGGCTACTGGATCTTCTGCCCATGGAAATCCTTCGTTGGAGAATCTGATTTATGACACACCCAGGGGGGAGGGGGGAGATAGGATCATAGGTGATAGTAAATTACGTGTCTCAGAGTTGGCTTCCTAGGATTAGTGCCAGACATGTTGCTCCTAATAAATCTTTTGGATTGAAGTTTGGCTCGAGGCTCATGATTTAATTAGGGCAATCATCGGAACCCTGGCACTGGGACTGAAGGACTAGCATCAGCACTCTGGCCTTGCTCTCCATGCCGACCTTGGTTTCGGGGGGCCCCCCCCACGTACCGACTGGCTCATTGTCGGGGACCAGAGAGGGCTCTTCGGCTGGCGGGTCCAGTTCAATGGTGTCCGGAGCAGCTTGGCTGGGCTCAGTGACCTGTCCTGCAGGAGGGAGAGACCCCAAATTGGACAGCTTGGGAAAATGCAACGGGGGGGGGGGGGACACAGTCCGCCCCACTGCCTGACCCACCGGCTACATGGAAAGCAAGAACTGGAAACAGTGGTAACTTTAGGACTTGTGGACTTGATGGTAACTTTAGAAGCACAGCTGGCTCAGGAATTCTGGGAGTTGAAGTCCACAGGTCCTAAAGTGGCATAGTTGTCCACCCCTGGTGTAGAGACTGAGAAGGCCAACCAACACCCACAGAGGAAGGATCACACCAGACCCAGAATCCCTAGGTCTGTGGCCCCACAGATCTGGAGCCCGGCCCCCATCCCCTCACGTGATTAAAATTCAGACCCTTGGCTACTGACTCACATTTACGACGGTCGCAGCATCCCAGGGTCACATGATGCCCCTTTTGTGACCTTCTGACAAGCAAAGTGAACGAGGAAGCCAGGTTCACTTAGTAACCGTGTGACTAACCTGACAGCTGCAGTGATTCACTTAAGAACCAGGGCCAGAAAGGTCGTAAAACGGAGCACAATTTACTTAAGAACTGTCTCGCTTAGCAAAGGAAGTTTTTGGCTGAATTGTCACCGTAAGTCAAGGACCCCCTGTGGGTCCCTGCTGTTTCAACATCCGCCCAAGATTTAACCCCCCTCCCCCAGCCCTGTTCCACTAGCCCCGCCCTCCCTTCCCCGTTCTCTCCGGGTGGTGCCCTTTCCCCTGCTCTTACCTGCAGCCGGCCAGGCTCGCACTTCCGGGCTCCACTCGCTCCAGCTGCCAGCATCCAGGTAGTCTTTGGCGCTCACCTGCACCGTGTGCTCCAGGCCCATGATGGCGTCCGTGATCTCCTCTGACATGTTGCTGGTCTCTATCTGCAGAGCCAAGAGGCGGCCCCCATCAGTCCCCTCCCCCTATTGACCCTTGACCCTCTGGATTCCGCTCACATGGGGGGGGGTCCGGGCAGAACCAACTGCCCCCCTCCACCAGCCCCCCCCCAAATGGGAAGGGCACAGAGGGTCCATGTGCAAGCAGGGAGTCCCCCCTCCCCACCTGAGACCCCTCCCCACCCCCGCAGCAACCTCCACTCACCAATGACCAGGCGTCGTGCAGGACGGGCCGGTAGCGCAGCCGGAAGTGGAGCTGGAAGGAGAGCTCCTTGCGCCAAGAGGAGGGGTACTCCCAGCTGACGCGCAGCCGCCGGGGCGCTTGGGCCACCGGCTCCACTCGGACATGCTCTGGTGGATCTGGCTTGGCTGGACGGGAGGCAGAGGGGGGGGGCAGGTGAGACCCCCCCCAAGGGGGAAGCAAACAAGGCCCCCTCCCATGCCTTTCCCCATAATCCGGCCCCAAGCCCCGTTTATCTGGGAACCAGGGGTGGGATTCTCCCGGTCCCATACTAGCCTTTATCTTTTGCTTTCGAAGTGCGGCTGCTTTGCACGGCACAACCGATTGCCACTGGCAGATTGCGGCGGAAGTGACCGGGAGAGTGCAGGATTGCAGGAGGCGAGTCGCAAAGCCTCTGGGCCTGCGCAAAGTGCGCGTTTGGCACGCACGCAAAGCGCGCCCACCAAGCCACGCCAACTAACTGGTGGTAAAAATACTTGAAATGCACCACTGCTGGGAAGGTTTCAAGAGCCACCTCACTCTCGGGGCACTGGCCCACCCCACATCTGGCAGAGGAGGAAGGGTATTCTGGCTGGGAGGGGGGTCCCCATCCCCCCCCCTCAATGTGAGGTCAGCCCCAACCCCCCTGACTGCCTGCAAGACTCTGCCAGCTGGCGTGGGGCTCCAAGGGAGGGGGCTTCACGTGGGGGTGGGGGTGAGCAGTTGAGTTTAATAACACATCTCACCCCACCCTTCCTAGTTTTAGCTTGACCTTATAGCTGATAATTCTGTATTTTTATAATGTTTTACTCCTCTTACATACATACAGGTAATCCTCAACTTACAATAGTTCATTTAGTGACCGTTCAAAGTGACAATGGCCCTGGAAAAAGTGATTTACAACTGTTTTTCAAACGTACGAACGTTGCAGCCTTCCTGTGCTCACGTGATCTACATTCAGATGCTTAGCAATGGACTCATATTTATGCACTAGATGATCCCCGTGGTTCACTACGAAACTATGTGGTCGGGCTTAGTTTTGGGGGAGGAAATTAAGAGGGTAAAATGTGCCTCTGCCTCCCAGCCTCCATCGGTATTTGTCTGGCTAGCATCCTGTCAGTGTGTGAGAGAGTGGAGGGCTGCTTGGAAACTGAAAGAGTATTTGCTGTGTGAGCAAGAAGGAGACAGCCAGGAGCCTGGGCGGAGCTTAGCTCAACTGTTCTGTACTAAAGCTGCTTGGTGCTGCTTTGAAACTGAACCTGAACCTCCTCTGCTTGTGTTTTGCATTTGGAGTAGATTTCTTTTCAGGTGGGGAGGGGGAGTAGAACTCCTTAGCATCAGAGCGTGTTAATAATAATAATAATATAGGAAATACTAATGCTCTGATGGTCATTTGGAAAAATCCTTTCTTAGGGAGGGCCTAGAAGCCAAGAGGAAGATACGTGCCAAATTTCAAGTTTGTAGGCTTTATGGTTCTGGAGATTTTGTGATGATGCATGATGGGTATTTCGCTTTTATATATATATATATATATATATATATATTTATTTATTTATTTTTATATCAAGTTTTTTATTTTATATTGCTTATACATATCAATGCGTGAATAGTCTCATATACCTGGGTGCTGTACATTTAAGTACAAATAAACATAATGTTGCTACTCATAGTTATTACATTTCATTTTCATTATTTCGTGTTGTTTCACTTAGCAACAGCTTCACTTAACAACCTGACGGCTGGTCGCTAAACAAGGATGAAGGGTGGGCCTTACCGATTCTTTGGGCAATGATGTTCAGCAGGGTGAAGCTGGAGCCCAGCGGGTTCACCTCCGTCACGTTCACACGGTACAAGCTCCAGAACTGGGACTTGCTGACAGTGCAGGCGAGGGGCCGGCCAGGATCCTGCACACACGGGCCCACACTCTTCACCGGGGACCTGCGGGCACAGAGGCAAGAGAAAGTGGGCGTCGTCCCCTAAGCCCTTGGCCGGGGAGAAATGATGAGGACGCGAACTCCCATCATCCCCAGCCGCGAGTCAACAATCCGGGGAAGACGTTTCCCCAAACCAGTGGCATTACACCTGGCTTGGCAATAAACGTTGGGAGAAGTTTTGTATCCCAATATATTGGATTCTTTATACTGCTTCCATCCCAGGGGGGGTGGAAATGCTCCCGGTTCAGACTGGTTCACCCAAACCGGTAGTAAAAAAAAAGCCTCCAGAGAAAAGCGCCGGATCAGCGCTCCTCCCATCTGCCCCTCTGCCTTTCTCTCCTTTCTCCCCTCAGCCGATCAACACCGCAGAGCCTCCGCTGGGGTGGAGAAAGCAGCGTGACTGCGCGCACGGCACAATCAGCAAACCGGCAACGGAACAGGTAGGATCCCCCACCGCTGCTCCGTCCTCCCTAAAAGCTATTTGACAGAATCTGCAATGGTCCGAGAATCAGTTCATCGACTCAAATTAGCAACACCCCCCCTCCCGAAAAAGTTATACGGACCCAATCCGCATATCAAAGGATAAGGTCTGCAAACACAGAGTTGATTCAATTATGTTTCCCAGAGGAACTGCACGTTCTCAAGAGTAAACACACACACACACACACACACACACACACACGCCCCTCAAGTGTCACCCTAGCCCCCAGCCTCGCTTATCATGGCCCCACTCCACACAAGACTGTCATCTGTCAGAAATGGTGTAGGATCTCCTTCTTGGGCAGGGGTGGTGGTGGACTAGATGACCTACAAGGTCCCTTCCAACTCTCTGTTATTCTGCTATAAGGTCCTCAGTTGGAGAGCAGAAGGACCATAAAGGAAGAGGTGGAGGAGACAAAAACGCTTCTTCTTCTTCTTCTTCTTCTTCTTCTTCTTCTTCTTCTTCTTCTTCTTCTTCTTCTTCTTCTTCTTCTTCTTTCTTCTTTCTTCTTTCTTCTTTCTTCTTCTTTCTTCTTCTTCCTCCTTCCTCCTCCTCCTCTTCTTCTTCCTCCTCCTCCTCCTCTGTCCCCCCAGCTCCCCCTCCAACATGCTCCTGGCCCCATAGATCTAGGTCTCCCCTCCCCTCCATAGACACACCCCCTTCCCAACCTCGTCACACAACCTAGCACGCACTCCTGGATATACAGGTAGGTTTCCTGAAGGGACTTTTTCCAAAAGGCAACTTAAAATTTTATGGACTTTCTAGTGGTCTTAAGTCTACTGGATGGTCAACTTACAACCACTAATGAAGGAGAGAACCAGCCTGGAATGAAGGAGAAATTTCCTGACAGTTAGAACCATTCCCCAGTGGAACTCCTTGCCACCAGAAGTTGTGGGTGCTCCATCCCTGGAAGGTTTTCAAGAAGAGACCGGACAGCCACTTGTCTGGAATGGAATAACGGTCTCCTTCTTGGGCAGGGGGTTGGACTAGAAGACCTCCAAGGTCCCTTCCGACTCTGTCCGTTAAGCCCAGTTGCCTTGAGGAAAAAGCCGCTTTGGTTCAACCGTCACCTGCATGAGGGGGGCATCTCCCTGGACTTACAGGTAGCTGGTGATGTATCTGGTGGGCAGGTGTGTCTCAACGCTGGGAGTCCAGAAGCAGGAGAAGTTCTCGTAGTTGGAAGCCCGGCAGGAGACGGAGGGCGGCCCGGGGAGTCCTGGGGGCAAGGAGGGGCACAGGGCAACAATTGGAGGGGGAGGGTCCCCAGGTCAGTGCCTCTCTTCTTCTGCAGGGGGCTCGCCCCAATTAGGACCCTGATTTTGAGCTCCAAATTTCTGTTGTTAAGCGAGGCAGTTATTAAGCGAGTCCCCCGCCCCCGTTTTCTACCTTTCTTGCCACCGCTGTTAAGTGAATCACTGCAATTGTTTAGTTGTTAAGTGAGCCTGCCTTCCCTCTTGCCCTTTGTCAAAGTATATTCATGGACTGGAATAAAGCACAGTAACAAGGTCAGCCAATGAATAGTCAAAGCAACGAAGTCAACCAATGAGGGCTGTTTGGAAACTGAAACTAGAAGTAGCCTAGGTGTGGCTCTATATATTAAGCTCTGCAGCTCCACAGCTACGGTGAGCTCTGAGTCTGTCTGTGGAGGATGAAACTAACTTGCTTGCTGAAATCTAGAGTTCTGCTCTGAACCTGTAACATGTCTGCTTTTGTTCGAGTTTGCTCCACGTTGGAGAAATCTACGACGCTTATTGTAAAATTCACTTTATATGTTTATAAAGAAGTGAAACGAAGCCTCGGCCGCCTGCGTTTACTTTTCTGGCCCTGAATTTACAGTGCAAAACTGAACGTCCCTGCTTGTCAGAAGGTCGCAAAAGGGGAATCACAGGATGCCAGGACCATGCATCCGTCATAAATACGAGCCCATTGCTAAGCATCTGGACTTTGATCCGTGGGGATGCTGCAACATGGTCGTAAGGGTGAAAAACGGTCCCTACAGGAAGTGCTGTAAGCCAAGGAGCATCTACCCTTCCCCCCTCAAGTTCCCCACTCAGGGGCTTCCTTAACCCCGGAGAAGCGCAGAATGGGGTCCCACCCCAGGCAAATATCATTCCCTCCCACGTGAGACTCAGACTTACGGCCAACCCGGAGCACCATGGAGCCCAGGGGAAGCCCAGCGCCATTCTGGCAGCTGTAGGTGCCTTCGGAGGAGAGGTCCACGTGGCTCAAGAGCAGCTGGCCCTGCTGGACCCTGGAGGCCGAGGGCAGCCCGGAGCCTCCATGCCGCTGCCATCGGGTCGTGGAGCTGAGGACACAGAATGGCTGCTGTCAGAGCGGGGGAGAGGAAGACCGCCACTGGCAGGAGGGGGAGTGGCAGGGGGAGCGGGTGTGGCTAGGTGGGCGTGGCCATGTGCCTGGGTGGGCGTGGCATTCTTTTTTTTTTTTTGCAGCACCCCCCACGCTCCATTTGGGGACCTTCTGGGCCTCAGGGAAGCCTCCCAGGGGTGGAGCAGGGAGGGGCGTAATGTCAGAGTCTATTCATGAACTGGAATAGAGCTGGGTAACAAGGTCAGCCAATGAATAGGCATCGCAACTAAGTCAGCCAATGAGGACTGTTTGGAAACTGAAACTAGAAGTAGCCTATAGGTGTGGCTCTATATTAAGCTATGTTGAAGCTCGGAGTCTGTCTATTGGAAATGAAACTAGCTTGCTTGCTTGCCTGCTGAAGTTACTTGCAAGATGTTTCCGTCTGAGTTTGCTCCATGCTGGAGAAATCTACAACTGGTTTGTAAAATCTACTTATTATGTTTATAAAGATGTTAAATGAAGCCTCAGCCACCTGTGTTCATTTTTCTGGCGCTGAATTAACACTGCAAATCTCTGAACACCCACCCCTCCCGCATTCTGCCTCCTGGGCCAAGCAATGAGACAGGGAGGGGGATCCCAGCACAGCTGATCGTTGGAACAGCGGATCATTGGGAGGGGAAAAAAAAAAAGAAACACCTTAAGGAGTGACTGGGCGGGGAGGGGAGGGGCCAGCCAGGGGCACAATTTGCCAGTTCTACGATATGCGCAGAATCGTAAAAACCGCTTCTACAGAACCGGTCAGAACCGGTCAAATCCCACCCCTGGGGAGGGGTCTTCCAGAGATCAAACCAGGCGCCCATCCCACATTCTCAAAAAACACCTAACCTCATATAACCTAGTTGGGTCTATGCGTCAGTTTGTCTTGACGGACGGATTGATTGGTCATGTCTATGTAGTGTAGGTTAAGTCTAAATCTCAGCTGCTCAGTGCCCGCAACTGACTGCCCCTCTGTGAACAGGAGGCCCACCAACTGCTACCAATTCTGCCCTCCCTCCTCCCGATTCATCGCTGCTGAGGTCCTTCCCCGCGTCTGCCTTCAAGAGCAAACTTTGCTGCCAAGCCTTTGGCAGAACTCAAGAAATTAACGAAAGAAACTAAAGAACTTGGGGAGGCCACACTTGGAATCCTGCATCCAGTTTTGGTTGCCACGATGCAAAAAAAGAGGCTGAGACTCTGGCAATGAGTGCAGACAAAGAGGATTAGGGAGCTGAAAGGCTAAAACATACAAAGAGCAGTGGGTGGAATTGGGCACGTCTCGTTTAATGGAAAGAAGGACTAGGGGAGACGTAATGGCAGCCTTCCAATATCGCAGGGGCTGCCCCAAAAGAAGAGAACCAAAGAACCAAAAGGCAGGATAAGAAGCAACGGATGGAAAGTAACCACGGAGAGAAGCAACTTAGAACTAAGGAGGAATTTCCTGATCGTGGGAACGATTAATCAGTGGAACAATTTGCCTCCTCCAGAAGTTGTGAATGCTCCAACACTGGAAGTTTTTAAAAAGGACATTGGATAACCCTTTGTCTGAAGTGGTGTAGGGTTTCCTGCCTAGGCAGGGGGCTGGACTAGAAGACCTCCAATATCCCTTCCAACTCTATTATTCTATTCTAAGAAAGTCCAGATGCCTCCAGGAAAAAAACAACCCAACTTTGGGACATTTATGCAATGGATTTTCATTTTAATCTATGCCGATTAGGGTACGTTCAAAGTGACAATAAAGTCATTCTTAAATGGTGTAGGGTTTCCTGCCTAGGCGGGGGGCTGGACTAGAAGACCTCCAAGGTCCCTCCCAGCTGTATTCTGATTCTAAACCAAAGGTTTGTCGCTTTGCAACTGCCAGTTGGCAAGGCAGAGGGCCATGCCAAGAAGGAGGCTTCCTTTGGGGGGGGGGGGGAGGGGGAGTAAAGGACCGTTAGGTTCAGGAGAAACAAGCCCTTTTGGTGTCGATGCCCACAAAACAGGGCAAAGAAGGGCAAAGTGACTGGTTGTTTCCCTTGTGGTTTCCTATGCGGAAAGCTGGTTTCCCACCACAGGCATGAAATGCTAGATCGGGCATGCCCCAGGCTGCTACAGATGGGGAAATATTCCTCTATATTTGAAATATATGACCTTAAAACAAAGGTCTCCAAACTTGGCAACTTTAAGACTTGTGGCCTTCAA